CTTGGGGGTAATCTGCGACCCTTTGCTCAGATGGAGGATTTTCGGGACTGTCTAGCGGATTGTGGACTCTCAGATTTGGGCTTCTCGGGCTATCCCTTCACATGGGATAACAAGCGAGATGGGACAGAGAACGTCAAGGTGAGACTGGACAGGGCGACGTGCACGGACAAATTTTTGGAGCTGTTTCCTGAAACGCACGTGGAACACCTAGTCACGGAGGAATCAGATCACCAAGCTATACTGGTAAGAGCGCTGGAGACGGCTCCACGCGTGACAAACCGGGGTCCGAGGCCTTTCCAGTTTGAAGAGGCTTGGACAAGGCACGAGCAGTATGAGGAGATGGTCAGAAATGCTTGGTCACTAGCTGGTACAGACGCAAACTCCGTGACGGCAGCCTGGGATAAGTTGAGTAGGATGTCTGGAAGCATGCAATGTTGGGCGCGTGAAGTTTTTGGGTCCATCCGGCGCCAAATCGCCAAGCTCAAGATGCAACTTGCTGAAGCCCGCAGCAGGGCCGATGCATCCGAGAACTCACTGGAGGTCCGGGACATAGAGAGCCAACTGCGAGAGATATATGCGCGGGAGGAGCTGTTGTATCGTCAGCGATCGCGTGTGGACTGGCTAAGGGCGGGGGATCAAAACACCAAATATTTTCAGAATCGGGCAACACATCGAAAGAGGAAAAACACTATCCGGGCTTTGAGGAGGGAAGATGGCTCGAGATGCATGGTGGAAGAGGAGATGAGGGAGATGGCAGCCTGCTTTTATGAAGTTTTGTTCACCTCGGAGGGCTCGGTGGATGATCATGAGCTACTTCAAAACATCGATATGCTAGTCTCGGACGACATGAACGCCAAGCTAACGACAGACATCTTGGATGAGGAGATAGAAACTGCTCTGTTTCAAATGGGGCCAACGAAAGTGCCAGGCCCGGATGGCTTACCAGCTCTCTTCTACCAAAGGCACTGGTCCTTGGTAAAAAGAGATGTATGCACGGCAGTTCGAGACTTTTTGCGGGGGGCGTTGACACCAACTGAGTTCAATGATACGATCATTGTCATGATATCGAAAGTTAACTCACCGGAGTTACTTTCGCAGTTCCGCCCAATTAGCCTTTGCAACGTTTTGTATAAGATAGCTACTAAGGTTTTGGCAAACAGGTTGAAGGGTATCCTTCCTCTCTTAATCTCTGAAGAACAAAGTGCATTTGTCCCCGGGCGGATGATCACGGATAATGTACTTGTGGCGTATGAGTGTGTACATGCTATCAGAAATAGGAAGAGGAAGAAGAGTCTCTATGCGATTAAGCTGGATATGATGAAAGCATATGACCGAGTGGAATGGATTTTTCTGGAAAAGATTATGACACATTTTGGCTTTCATCCGCAGTGGGTCTCCATGATCATGAGATGTGTCACCTCGGCGCAGTTTTCTGTTAAATTGAATGTTGCACTGTCCAGGAGTTTTTTACCTTCTCGGGGCCTAAGACAGGGAGACCCCTTATCTCCATATTTGTTTCTCTTCTGTGTTGAAGGGTTCTTAGCGCTGCTCAAGAAAGCCCAGAATGATAAAAAGCTAGCGGGAGTGAAGTTTGGGAGCACTGGCCCCCATATAACTCACCTTCTTTTTGCAGATGACAGTATTGTCTTTCTGGAAGGGACGAGGGAGAACATGGAGATGCTAAAACAGATTCTTGTGAAGTATGAAAAAGCGTCCGGCCAAAAGGTAAATTTGCAGAAGTCCTCTATCTTTTTTGGAAAGGGCAGCCAAGATGTAATGAAGGAGCAAATGAAGCAAATAGTGGGCATTCAGTCTGAAGCTTTGAGTGAACGATACTTGGGACTACCAACACTGGTTGGTAGGTCCAAGGAGGGGACGTTCAAACACGTCACGGAGTGCGCTAAAGGGAAAGTGTGCGGATGGAAGGGCCAAGGTTTATCCAAAGCAGCAAGGGAAGTTCTTGTTAAATCTGTGTTGCAAGCGACGCCGACCTATACCATGAGTTGTTTTCACCTCTCAAAGAAGATGTGCCGGAACCTGACTTCAATCTCGTCTAAATTCTGGTGGGGTGCAATGAATGGTGAGAGAAAGGTCCATTGGATCGCTGGGCAAAAGATGTGTGCGAGCAAGAGGGCTGGAGGCATGGGCTTTCGTGACCCGGAGGCTTTCAACCGAGCGTTGTTAGCGAAACAAGCATGGCGAATTCTTCAAGTTCCTAACTCTCTTTGTGCCAGAGTGCTTAAAGCTCGATATTTTAAGGATGAGTCAATATTGTCAGCATCCTGCCCGGCTTCTGGGTCTTTCACCTTTCGGAGTATATTGCATGGCCGAGATTTGCTAAGGGAGGGGTTGATCTGGAGAATAGGGTCGGGCACAAATATCAACATCCACCATGATGCATGGATCCCTCGCAATGGGAGCACAAAACCTCTCGGTCAGGTGTATATCCAGGGTATAACCAAAGTGTCTCACTTGATGAACCCTGATGGTAGATCCTGGAATGAGGAGTTGGTCGATCAGATGTTTATCGTTGCTGACGCTATCGATGTGAAACAGATTGCCATTGGTGGCCTGGCGATGGACGATCTTCTTGCATGGAATTTTACACGGGATGGTGTCTTCACAGTGAGGTCAGCGTACCACTTTCGGATGTCTCTAAACAGGGCACGATCCGGACAGCCGGAGCCTTCTAGTTCAGCGGCTATGCACAAAGGATACCTGTCGTTATGGGATACAAATGCGCCGGGTAAGGTCAAGATTCATATGTGGCGCATGATTCACAACGGTCTTGCGGTGGGAGCTGAACTTCACCGTCGTCGGATTAAGCCAGGAGTTTTTTGTGTTGTGTGCGCCCGGGAAGAGACGATGATGCATAGGTTTTGGGGCTGCCAACACTCCATCATGTTCTGGGACAAGTTGAGGAAGCAGGTGCGGCTGTCCCTGGATGCACCACCAAGCCACCTTCATTCTCAGCGCGGCCTTGCTTCCTGGTTACTTGACTGGTTCGCTCGAGCGTCCGGGGATGAGAAGGAGTTCATGCTCCAGGCTGCTTACAATCTTTGGCTGGCAAGAAACGACACGAGAGACGGGAGGAAGATAGCTCCACCCCATGAAATAATAGCGACAGTGCTGGTACAAGTAGCTGACTGGAACACAACTCATGAGACAAAGGCGCCACGACCGGAGCCAAAATCTATCCAGAAGTGGGAACCCCCGGCTGATGGATGGATTAAGATCAACTCCGACGGCACAATCTCTAGGCATGGCGAGAAAGGAGGTGGCGGTGCAGTTCTTCGCGATCATCAGGGGCGTTTCGAGCGGGACTATGCCAGTTTTTTCCTCACAGCAATGATCCGGAGATGGTGGAGGTTTTGGCATGCAGGCAAGCCGTTCAAGTGGCAAATGCCCTAAACTTTCCGCGGGTGCATGTCGAGCTTGATTGCTTGGCACTGGTCAAGATGCTCAACTCACCGCAAAGGAATTTGTCTGCTGCAGGCCCATGGGTAGAGGAGATAAAAGCGATGCTTAGGTCAAGAGAGGAGTCCAGGGTTTCTTGGGTTCATCGGTCCGGGAATGTTGCCGCTCACAAGTTAGCAAAAGTAGGGGTAGGGGAGAACCGTTCTGAGATTTGGGCGAATTCGCCACCAGATTTTATCTTAGATGTAATTTCAGATGACATTCCGAGTTTTGGTTAAATAAAGCGGCATGATTTCCCCCTAAAAAAACAAAACAACAGAGCTCCTTTTTTTTGAGGCAAAAATAACGGAGCTCCTATTCGGGGCGTTAAGCGTCAGGGAAGCGTCCAGGCACCCACACGCCATCGCTTGTGGGCTGCCCAATGTATGTCGAGCACTCGGTCGCATTTTAGCATGTCAACCGTTGACTTGTGAAAAAACTAAAAAAATCACAAAAAATGAAAAAATTGTGAATTCAAAAATGTTCATGGATTTTGGAAAAAGTTCACAAATTTGAAAAAAAAATCATTGAATTTTGCAAAAGAAATCGATTTGGGAAAAGAATATCGAATTTGCAAAAAAAAAACAATTTGAAAAAACTTCATTGAATTTGAAAAAAAGTTCATCGAATTTTAAAAAATTACTAAATTTGGAAAAAATTAATTGATTTTTTAAAAAGCTTATCAATTTTGCAAAAAAGAAATTCATCGATTTGAAGAAAAAGTTTACGATTAAAAAATAGTTCATCGAACCAGAAAAGGGAAAAAAGAAAAAAGAAAATTGAACATAAATATTATTAATTTACAGAACTTAGTAAGTTCATCATAGATATGCATGTTGTATGGCTAGTATGCACCTCCATATTTACATATTAGTATGAGATTAGCATACTGTTAGTGATATCATCAAGATTTATTTCTGAATTAATTTAATCAGAAAAATATTAATTTACCGAAGCACTTGGTATAGCTATTGCGAAAGATTTTATACTGGACCTTGTAAACCGACCTGGTAGTGTAGGCTATCCATGAGAGAGACCATCGGTCGGAACCACCTCATGAATGGCATATCACAAAGACTCAAGAGCAGGATGAAGGTGTTGCATTGTCAAAAAGAAGAAGAAAAAAGAAGAATGAACTCGTGTTAGGCATTTGTGTCCGAGAGAGCTTCACGGACAGAAATGCAAGCGTAGATGGCAGGAGCGAGAAAAACGTGCACCGACCATGACCCAGATGGACCGGCAGGGGGGAAAGATGATGATCATGCCGGCCAGCATCAATATGTGTTCGAAAGAGCTTATGTAGCTAGCGGGCAAAGACCATACAAGAAACATAGGCTTACAAGCCGATATAAGATGGATAGACCGTCCAATCCAAAGATAGAACTAGCAGCTAAGCTATATATATGATGACTAGTACAATCCTCATGACAAGCTAGTCTTGTTGGCACTAACATAAGCCACTCCCTCCGTCCCATAATATAAAAACATTAATATAAAAGCAATTTTGACACTAGTAAGTATGCTGTAGGAGAGGAAAGGTGTATTCAACTAGTAACTTTGTTCCACCAGTCCGCGACAGACTTTTTTGGTGGAACAAACACGAGCAAGCCGATGCCAACTCCAGTCAAAAGGCCATTCGTACATGCCCCCAAAAACTTGTAGTAAGTATTGCGTCTTTCGTGGCGTCGACAAAAACGCCTGCAAAACAATACAATACAAAAACAATATATACGGATGAGATGGAATATAGTACAACTTTGATGAATTGGATTTGTAGTAGCTTAACGAAAGACGTTTCTGTAGCTTAGTCTTAGTATTATCTATTTGGATTGTACTAAGATTAGGCTGCAAAAACGTCCAATACAAGTACTCCCTCCGTTCCAAAATCTTTGTCTTAGATTCGCCTAGATACATCCGTATTTAGACGAATCTAAGACAAGAATGGGACGGAGGGAGTACATGACAAGAGACAATATGCGAAATAATAATAATCAAATGAGACAAGATAGATAGTTACCAGATTGGGTCTTGGGGTCTAGGGTTGATTTGGGAGGAGAGGCGCTGCATGAGAAGCATGTACTCGCGACTCATCCTGCGCGGGACATCGTAGGTGGTAACCATGCCATGCACCTTGTCGAACAGCTCCTCTTTGGCCTTGTCGATCTCCGCCACGCGGGCCGCGGCGTCCCTCATCTCCTCCGGGCTGCAGGGCTTGGTGTGGGCGAGCCGCACCCTTGCCGCCGCCACGGGCGCTCGCCGGAGCAAAGCGCCACCGCCGAATCTCATCGCCGCCGCCATCGACTTCTTCACTTGATGCCTGATGATCCTCTCGATCGATTCTACTCCAGTATATATCAGATCAGAGGGAGGCGCCTTCGTTTCCGTCTCCAACACGAAAGCAAGAAGGGGATCTCAATCTGGAGATCGATTAGGGGAGCTCTTTTTCCTTTTCCTTTTTTTTTAGTCTACACGAACACAAAGCTCTTTTTCCCTTGCTCGCTCGCCCCAGGTATATACTCCAGCACAAGGCCCAGCCCACGTACACAGTCCACTTCGGCAGTTTTCAGGGACCTCCTAGTCAGCGCTTCAGGCGCCAGATGAGCCAACTGGCGCTCACTGCGGCACGCCAGTGGGCCGGCCCAGGAACAGCAGCGCAAAAAGTAATAGCGCGAGAAAAATATCAAACAATTGGCTGCCGGCTGCCGCATGGAATCAAACCGGAGACATTCAGATCAGAGCGCGCTCGGCTGACCACTTGTGGCACAACGACCATTTGTCAAAAATGATGCGCGTACATATAATGAACACAATAGTTGCCGTGCTATTTAGGAAAACTTGATTTCTTTTCAAGCATAAACCTGAACAAAACTTCAATGTCCACAGATTTAAAAAATATCCCGAATTAGAAAAAAAGTTCACGTATTCAAAAAAGTAGACGGATTCAAAAAAGTTCATGAAATTGAAAAAAGTTCATCAAATTTGAAAAGGAGTTCACTAAATTTAAAAAAAGTTCATGGAATTTCCAAAAAGTTCACCAACCTTTCAATAAAAGTTCATCATTTTTTTTGAAAACCAATAGATTTTGAAAAAAGTTCATAGATTTTGGAAAAAGTTCATCTTAATTTAAAAAGTTCATTGAAGTTGAAAAGAGTTCTTCAAATTTGAAAAAAGTTCACCAAATTTGAAAAGAGTTCATCGAATTTGATTTTTTGATCAATTTAGAAAAGAAATCACGAATTTAGAAAAAAGAACGCATTAAATAAAACAAAAGAAAGAAACAGAAAAGGATAAGAAAGAGAAAATTAAAGAAAAATATAGAAAATGCAAACAAGAAAGAGAAAAAAGACAAAGAAAGAAAGAACAAAAAGGGCAAATGGGAGAAACTTAGCAAAGGAGGTGTGTTGTCCTAGGTGGTTAGCAAGTTGACAAAAGCTTACGAGAATTAAAAAAGGTTCATAAATTATAAACATTTCACTAATTTCAGAAAAGTTAATGAATTTAAAAAAGTTCACCAGTTTGAAAAACGTTCACGGATAAAAAAAGTTCACGAAATACAAAATAGTTCAAGAAAATTGAAAAAAGTTCATCGATATTGAAATAAAGTTCATCGATTTTCATAAAAGTTCACAGATTTTGAAAAAAGTTCAACGAATATGAAAAAGGTTTATCAAATTTGAAAAATAATTCATCAACTTTTAAAGAAAAGTTAATCAATTTCGCAGAAAAAGTTCATCAAACCAGGAAAAAGAAAAAAAAGGAAAGTAACAGTAGAAGTAATAAAAGAATAGCAAAGTTGAAAATATCAAACGTGGTTGAGAGGCGTGGTGGTTAGGTCATTGCGTCACGGCACAGGAGGTCAGTGGTTCGACTCACCCCGCAAGAGCACTTGTTTTACTCTTTTGAAAACAGAAGAAGAAGAAAAACTACTGCAGTGTGAAACAGATAAATGGGCCAGCCCACCTAACGCGGTTGCAGGCGTCGGTTAGGAAAATTGCCCTTAACCGGCGCCTGCAGCGCCGAATAGGAAATACCCGTTTTCATTCCTCCCCTCAAAAAAAAAAGGTGATTCGAGGATGAACTCGTGGGAGGTGGAGGAGATGCCAAAAGAGTTAGGGGATCTCGAAAGAGGATCTCGACGGCATGGTGGTTAACGATGAGGAGGCGATCACGGAAAGGACAACATGGTGGATGGCCATAGCCCGAGTTCATATAAAAAAACTATTTCCAGTTTTGGTTCTTTAAGAACATGAGGGTAGCCTGGGGGCCTGGACAAGGAGGTGAAGATTCGGCGGACAACTTGTACACATTGCAGTTCTCTTGCCTTTGGGATTGGGAGAGAGTGATGGAAAAGGGGTCTTGGACTTTCCGTGGCAACCCTATCATGTTATGTGTGTCTTTCGGACTTGTGTGCTGTGTGTGGATATCTCCGCCATGTTTTCAAAGAAAATGTGGTAATGGAGTACACCCTCCTTCAGCGCTTGTGTTCAAAGAACGCCGGGCGTCTTGGTTTAAGGGGGTTGGTTCTCATCCAAGAGGTGGCAGAGGAGGAGGGCGTGTACGTGGACATGGAGGAAGATCTGGTTGGGCACATGACCCTACACAAGAGGCTAGTTGCGTTGCCTTGACGACCCATAAGTATGGGGATCAATCGTAGTCCTTTCGATAAGTAAGAGTGTCGAACCCAAACAAGGAGCAGAAGGAATTGATAAGCGTTTTCAACAAGGCTTTCTCTGCAAGTGCTACGAAATAGTAGTAACAAATAGTTTGGTAGCAAGATAATTCATAGCAGGTAATAACACGTAACCAAAGTAACAAGGTGCAACAAGGTGGACTAATCATTTTATCGCAAAGGACAAGCCAAAAGTACTTCTTATAGTAAGCAAAGCGTTCTCAAGGACACATGTGAATTTCATCTATTCACATTCGTCATGATTCATCGGCTCCCGTTCGCTACTTTGATAAATAGTTATGTGGGTGGACCAGTGCTAGGGTGATTGATGACACTAGTGGAAAACATGGCTATGGTCCCGGTTCCAGAGGGCCTTTAGTCCCAGTTCTGAAACTGGGACAAAACAAACGGGACTAATACCCAAAACCTTTAGTCCCGGTTGGCTTCGGGACCAAAGGAGCTCCACGTGGTCGTTATGGGGCGCCCAGACAGGAGGACCTTTAGTCTCAGTTGGTAACACCAACCGAGACCAAAAGGCAGCCACGCGTCAGCAGCTCGCAGACGTTGGGTTTTTTTTTGAAGGGGGGGGTAGGGGTTTTGGAGGGTTTAGGGGTTTCATATTGTGTTAGCTAGCTAATAGAGAGAAGTGACCTCTCTTTGTCCATGCTATTGGGGAACGTAGTAATTCAAAAAAATTCCTACGGTCACGCAAGATCTATTTAGGAGAAGCGTAGCAACGAGACATGAGAGTGTGTCCACGTACCCTCGTAGACCGAAAGCAGAAGTGTTATGTAACGCGGTTGATGTAGTCGAACGTCTTCACGATCCAACCGATCCAAGTACTGAACGTACGGCACCTCTGTGTTCAGCACACGTTCAGCACGATGATGTCCCTTGAGCTCTTGATACAGTAGTGGGTTGAGGGAGAGTTTAGACAACACGACAGCGTGGCGACGGTGTTGGTGATGTGATCCGTGCAGGGTTTCGCCTAAGCACTACAACAATATGACCGAAGTGGTAAACTGTGGAGGGGGCACCGCACACGGCTGAGGAACAATTGATGTGCCTTTGGGGTGCCCCCCTGCCCCCATATATAAAGGAGAAGGGGAGGAGGCGGTTGATCTAGGGGGCGCGCCAAAGTGGGGAGTCCAACTAGGACTCCCAATCCTAGTTGGACTCCCTTTCCTTTTCCGGAGAGGGGGAAAGAGGGAAGGGAGAGGAAGAGGAGAAGGAAAGGGGGGACGCGCCCCCCTCCTTAGTCCAATTCGGACTCCCTATAGGGAGGGGGCGCGGCCACCCATTGTGGTCTGCCTCCCCTCTCCCCTATGGCCCATGTAGGCCCAATATTCCCCCGGGGGGTTCCGGTAACCCCTCGGTACTCCGAAAAAATACCCGAATCACTCGAAACCATTCCGATGTCTGAATACAACCTTCCAATATATGAATCTTTACCTCTCGACCATTCCGAGACTCCTCATCATGTCTTTGATCTAATCTGGGACTCCGAACAAGCTTCGGTCACCAAAACACATAACTCATAATATAAATCATCATCGAACGTTAAGTGTGCGGACCCTACGTGTCGTGGAAGTGTCACGACAGATGTCCTCATGGAAGGACTTAGTTGTGGATCCATTGCGACGAGGTTAGACTAAAGGGGTTAAATAGGACAAAGGACACGAGGAGTTTATACTGGTTCGGCCTCTTGCGGTGAAGGTAAAGTCCTAATCCAGTTTGAGGTGGTATTACTAGGGTTTCGATGACCAGGGAGTGAATATGCTTTGCCTGGCTCTCGAGTTGTTGTTTCTTGCCCTAAGCCGCTGCCGGGCTGTCCCCTTATATACACGAGTTGATGCCCTGCGGTCTACAGAGTCCCGGCCAGCTCATACAACATGTCCGGCTTGGTGACTTATCTTACATGCCTTATAATACAATTTTACGTATACATGGCGGTTTATACTCATGGGCCTTAAGCCGCCTTCGGGTCTGGGCCCTCTAACAAGCCTGTCTATGAACCGCCACCTTAATATACTCTTGGGCTTCATTGAGATGAGCCGCCATAGGGATGACCCGGCCACTCCTGGGCGGGTCATATCTGATAGTCATATCCCCAACATTAGGCCCCAGGTTGATTTGAAATTGTTCACGTCAATCTTCAACAATTAGAAAAATCCTTCTTCGTCTTACTGTGAAATATTGTAACCTGCCATGATGTCATCTTCGAAAAATGTGGTAACCCGCCGTGATGTCACCTGCGATTAATGCTTCACAGAACCCAAATATTAATAAATCTCTTTCTTTACTGACCCTCCAAAAACCGAGGCGCCCGCGCCGTCACTTATCCATTTTTCTGTCTCCTCGATTCTCACGCATGCCACTTATCCTTCTCCCCTTATAAATAAGACCTCGGGTTCCCCTTTCATTTCCCCCCTTTTCCTTCTCGCCTTCTTCCTCCTCCTTGCGACGCACCAGTCCGCACGAGCTCCACCGCCGTCGGCCTTCGTCCCCTTCATCAACTCTCGCTGCTGCATCACCCTGAACGGACCAGAAAACCGCGTCACCTCTCCACTCTTTCATCAGCATCAGTAAATCTTCCCTTTCCTCACCATAGATCTGTCCATTAGGGTTT